GTGTGCCTCACAGCCTGCGAGACGGAGGGCAATGGCAGTGAGTGGACAGGGAATGCACGGGCGTCCGTTGCTCGCTCGCACAGAAGACAGCCTGAGGCGTGGTGCAGGAGCGGCAGAGCGGCGAACGGGTTATGGTATGTGTGCCAGGGGATGCTTCCAGGGTGGGAGTGTAGTGAGTCGTAGAGCGTCGCCGCGCAGAGGCAAGAGTCGTGTCTTTTTGTCCTTGCCTCCACCACTGGCTCGCTGCTGTTTCTAACCCTCCCTCGCTGCATCGTTTCTTTGTGGGTGCCTCTCTCCCCATGCGTGTGTGTGTGTGTGCCTCACGTTCTGTGAGATGGATGGGAATGGCACAGAGTGGACAGGGGGTGACCATCTTGCGGGGGTCGGCCCGACGCACAGCAGCAACGTTGGTGAATGCAGCAGCACTGGTGAGTCGTAGCAGCAGTAGCAACGGCGCATTGTTTTTTCAGCCAAGTATTTTCCCCTCCACATGCTTTGCCTTCTGTGATGCCAACCAAGCGCTCATCGCTTGAATTGCATGTGCTTCACTGCTTTCTCCTTGAAATCTCGCCACTGGTTGGTTTTGGCTCAACTCACAAGCCACAGACCCCTCGTGTTGCAGGTATCAACAGCACAGCACGAGCATCCTGGAGCAGCACTCTTGGAGCCTGGAGCACGGGCCACAGCAGGGTGCTGCATGGGCTGTAGGAGCTGCAGATTCTGCCAAGTAGGGAAAAACATTCAGCTGAAGCATGGTACGTGCCAGACAGTGCTTGCAGGGGGGCCGTAGATTGAGTCGTAGGGTGTCGCCTCGCAGAGGCTTCTGTTGCCGTTGCTTCCGCCACTCGCCTCCTGCTGCTTCTGATTATCACTTGTTGCACCGCCTGTGTGTGTGTGTGTGTGCGTGTCCCTCTTCCCGTGCGTGTGTGTGCCTCATGGCCTGCGAGGCGGACGGGAATGGCAGCGAGACGGGGAATCGACACGGATGCACGAGAGACGACCTTCCTGCGCTGCGAGGAGAAAGGGGAGAAAGGGGAGCAACCTGGAGCAGCACGCCTGAAGAGAAGGCATGGCTCAGAGCAGCACGCCTGAAGTGAAGGCATGGTGCAGGAGTGGTACGTGCCAGGGGGTGCTTGCAGGGAGGGCGTGAAGTGTCGCCGCGCAGAGGCAAGTGTCATGTCTGTTGCCCTTGCCTCCACCACTCGCCTCCTCTCCTGCTGCTCCCAACCCTCCCTTGTTGTGCCACTGCTGCATGTATCTCTCTCTCCCCATGCGTGTGTGTGCTTCATGTCCTGCGATACGGATGGGGGTGTCAGCGAGTGGAAGGGGATCACCAGTGGCTGCAGCGATGGCAGGATGTTGGTGAGCACACAAGAGGTTGTGAGTGAATCAGGTCTAACAGTTCACCACTTCACTTATCACTTTCACTTTTCATTTTTCACGTTTCACTTTTCGCCATGTTCCTGCTTTCTGTGTTCCGTTCTCTCTTGCCTGCCATTTTTCCACAGTGCCATGAGTCTTTACAGCGGTGCTGTCAGGTTATCATGCCAGCTCCCTAACCCCTCCTCGCCTGTCCTCTCCTCCTCCCTGCAGCGACCGGTGGTTGCGATGGCAGCAACCGACTGCAGTAGCAGAAGCAATGGAGCAACCGGGAGCACAGGCAGTGGCAGGGCGCTGCTTGGAAAGGCTTGGCGCAGCAGCAACAGAGCGGCCTGGAGTAGCACGCGGGAAGAGAAGGCGTGGCAGGTGGAGCATTGTACGTGCCAGGGGGTGCTAGCTGGGGGGCCGTGAAGTGAGTCGTAGCGTGTTGCCGTGCAGAGGCAAGAGTCATGTCTCATGTTCTTGTCTTTGCCACTCGCCTCCCCTCCTGCTGCTTATAACCCTCCCTTGTTGCGCCGCTTCTCTCCCCATGCTTGTGTGTGCCTCACGTCCTGCTATACGGATGGTAATGGCAGCGAGTGGATCGGAACTGTGCATGTGCATGTGGGGGAAAGGGGGGAAGGGGGTGGGGGGTGTGCATGTGTGCGTGTGCGGGTGTGCATGCCTGTGAGTGTTCCTCTCAGCCTTCAAGCTCTGGAGTGTGGCGGATTGCTCTTTGTGAACCTGCCTGCTCTTCAGTGGGGACAAAAAGATTCGATCTCTTCCAAGAGAGGTAAGTTGGACTGAAGTTAAGATGCAGCAGCAGGCCGAATGCACCGTGCATTGCTTTTTGTCGTAGTCCCTTTCCAAGCTAGCATCTGCTCTTTTACATCCTCACGCCTCACTTTCTCTTCCTTGCCATCCCCTCTCCCCTCACCTCCAGCACTCACGAGAGGCTGTGGTTGCAGCAACCGCAGGATGATGGCTGCAAGCCCACAAGGACTTGTGAGTCAAGCAGACCAGCTCAAGCAGTTTACTACTCCTCTGTTCACCGTCTTCCTGCTTTATGTGTTCCGTTCCATCTTGTCCACTATTCTCCCACGGTTCCCAGAGTCTTTGCTGCTGTGCTGCCATGTTTTCATGCCACTCTTCTCAGCTCCCAACCTCTCCTTTCCTGTCCTCTCCTCTTCTCTGCAGCAACACGTGGTGGACGCAACGAGAGCAACAACTGCAGCAGCAGCACCAACGGAGCAACCTGGAGCACGGGCAGCAGCTGGGCGCTGCTTGGGGCGAAGGCTTGGCGCAGGAGCAAGAAAGCAGCATGGAGCAGCACACAGGCGTGGTGCAGGAGGCAGGGCGGCGAGTGGCAAAGCGGCAGACGGAAGAGTGTGGTACGTGCCAGGGAGTGCTTGTAGGGGGGGGCTTGAACTGTCATAGGGTGTCGCCGCGCAGAGGCAAGAGTCATGTCTGTTGCTTGCGGGTCCACCACTCGCCACCTGCTGCTTCTAACCCTCTTCTGTGTGTGTGTGTGTGTCTCTCTCTCTCTCTCTCTCCCCATGTGTGTGTGCCTCTCTCTCGCCATGTGCGTGTCTCTCTCTCCCCGTGTGTGTGTCCCTCTGTCTCCCCATGTGTATGTGTCTCTCTCCCCATGTGTGTGTGTGCCTCGTGGCCTGCGAGACGGAGAGCAATGGCAGCACGTGGACGCCTCAAGTGAAGGCGTGGCGCAATACTGGGAGAGCAGAAGACAGATCATGGTACGTGCCAGGGGGTGCTTGCAGGGGGGCATGAATTGAGTCGTAGGGTGTCGCCGCGCAGAGGCAAGAGTCGTGTCTGTTGCTCTTGTCTCTGCCACTCGCCTCTTCTCCTGTTTATCCTAACCCTCCCTTCTGTGTGTGTGTTTTTTCTTCCCGTGATTGTGAGGATGGGGAGGGGTGGAAGGAGTGGGGGGGAGGGGTTGGGGTGGGGGGCTGTGGTGGTGGCACCAGCAGTTGCACCATCAACGGCCACTGCAGTGGTTGCAGCTGCAGCTATGGATGGGTAATTGCAGTCTACCCTATGCTTCCATGTTCCCTTTATATATTCGCTGTTTAACATCGCTTGCGTTCTTGTCTAGACTCCAGTACCTTGCTCGTTTCCTGTCATCCTTCTCCTCAGCCCTCCCTCCCATGTTTCTTTATCCTGAGGCAATAGTCGTGTCTCTTGACCTTGCTTCCACAGCTCGCCTCGTCTCCTGCTGCTTCCAACCCTCCCTTGTTGTCTAATATTACCTGCGTTCTTGCCTTTTCATCCTTAACCTTATGTTGCTCATTCTTTCCATCTCCTGTATCCTGCTGTTATGGCGCCCTCACCTCTCTCCTTCTCCATATCCCTTGGCTCTGGCAACTGCTGTGCAGGAAGCAGTGGGAGCAGCAGCAGTGTATGGTAGGTGTGGGTTCTGCTCGCCTCTCACTTCGTGCTTGCTCCACCATGGCGTTCCAAATTGTGATTGCACCTTCTGTAATCTCTGGTTCAAACAGAAAATGTGCCACATGATTCACAAGTGCTTTGGGCCTCCTTGTTCTATCCCCTCCCCACTCTTCCGGTCCCCATTGCTGTCCCGTTTACAGCTCAGAAAGAAGAATTCAACGTGGCTCTGCTTTGGTGATGTGGAGGCAAGGAGAAGACTCTGGCTGCTGCTGTGCTCGGCAGAGGCAGTCCGTTGGGTGTTTCTACCAGTACTTAGCAGTGCTTAATTTTGCTGTGCTTAGATGTGCTGTGCATAGAAGTGCCCTGCTTGGGTGTGTTGCGCCGTTGCTGTGCTGGATAGGCCTGCATGTTGTAGAGCAGGTGGGTGGGGTGAGGAGCCTGGAAGGCCCATGGTCACAAACAGCCAAGCAGGAGAGAGAGAGTGAGAGTGTGGTAGATCTGCCATGAGAGGCATGTGCACCGTGATGGGGAGAAAGCAGGGGTGCAGAGCACCCACCCATGTGCGCTGCATGCAGCTTGCATGCACATACAGAGCAGCAAGACACCACGAGCGGATCTGGATCAGGCAAATCCTTCTCTCACACAAGCAGGTAAGGCAGGGACTGACAAGATAAAACCGATTGGTCACATTTCGTGCAGAACAGTTGTAGTCAGGTGGCATACACACACTTCTAATCTTAATGCTGCTGCTGCAACAAGAGCAGTGACGCGAGCAGCCATGCTACCAGGAACAGCAAGAGCATGGAAGCTACCCAATCTGACAGTTGCTGTACCAGGCCCTGCGTGCTCTTCGCTGTGTTGGTTGAGCTGCCAGCCATGTCTGCACCCACAGTTGTCATGCCAGACCAGCCAACCAGCCAGCCAGCCTACTAGCCTACTATCGAAGCATCTAACAAGCCTCCAGTCAGCCTACTAGCCTACTATCGAAGCATCTAACAAGCTCCCAGTCAGCCTACCAGCCTACTATCCAACTATCTAGCCAGCCAGCCAGCGAACATAATGGGAGGGTAGGGCCCACACACGGAGACGGTGGTGGTGACGGAGTGACAAGCGACAGGAGCATCGTATGTACTGCAATGGTAGCATGAGTATGGAACAGTGGCATGGAGGTTGGCTGAAACTGAGTGGAATGATGGCCTGACAATCATTCTTCATGATGTGCTGGCAATGACGCCTCATGACTTGCTGCATCCTCGCACGATGACAATTGGTGTCTGCTCCTCCGCATTCCCTGTGTTCACACATCCAGCCATAGTCAGTCAACAGTCAGTAAGAACGGCAAAAGCTTGCCTCTTGCTGTCCAACCCTGCCCATCTCACAGGCGCACACCACACTGAACTCCTCACAACCTGTGTGAGTATGGGCAGGGCAGCAGCTCACCTGCTGGGTTGGGCAGCAGCGCTGTTGTGAGCCTCCCATGGTCCACCCCTGCTGACGCCTGCATGCCATGGCGCATGGGGCATCAAGGCATGGGGTAAGGGATGGCCGTGCACGCGGCATGGGGCATGGAGTGTGAGGCATGGGACACGGAAACACGCGGCATGAAGCATGGACCATAGGACATGAGGCATGGATCATAAGGCATGAGCATGGGGCATGAGAAAATGCGGCAAAAAATATGCGAAGTGGAGTATAGGCCTATGCACTTGCACCACTGCCACGCCATTACCCAGCTTCATCCCTTTACACCTCTTGTAACTGTGCATCACCGTGCGTCACCACTCACCACCCATACAGGTGTGGCAGCACTCTCAGCGAGAATCTGCACTCTTCTGAGGTCGTTGACATCCACTATCGCCACGCCGCACCCCAGCTTCATCCCTCTTCACCACCCGTAACTGCCTATCACCGCATCACCCCTCATCACCGCTCGTTACCGCTCACCACCCATGCGGGCACTCACAGCGAGGATCTGCACTTTTCTGAGGTCGTTGACATCCACTATGGCCACGCCGCACCTCAGCTTCGCACTCAGCCCATCCACTGTCTCCTGCGGTCGCAGCTGTGAGAGATGACGGTGGGAAGGGCCAGGGGGGTGGAAAAAAGGGGAAGGCTATAGTTGGGGGCCGGTAATGAGGTCGTTGACATCCACTATTGCTACGCCACACCCCAGCTTCGCACTCGGCCCATCCAATGTCTCCTGTGGTCGCAGCTGGTGGGACAGCCGGGGAGAGGGCAGTTTGCAAGGCAGGGGGGTGTGCAAGGCAAGGGGGTGTGCAAGGCAGTGGGGTGTGGAAGGCAGGGGGGTGATGAAATGGTCATACGAGGGGAGAGTGCCAGTGACGCGGCTGTGAGTGAGTGCGAGGACGTATGAGGCGTCGCAGAAGGCGTGCGTGCGTGGACCGGAGAGAGCAAGAGAGGAGAGGCCACCCACGGGCCCAAGGAGGAGAGGGACAGGGCAAAGAGAGCAACGGAACGCACAGGGCCGAGGGTGATGAACTGGTCGTATGGAGGCAGGGTGCCAGTGACGTCATCAATGAGTCGCGCCTGCTCCCCTGCCAGCTGGTAGAACACTCCCCTCCGCCTCAACAGCACTCGTGCCAGCGCCGCCAGCAGCACCGCAACTATAACCCGCACCACCCCCACCACGTCTATCAACGCCTGTTTGGAGAGGGGGAAGGGGAAGGGAAGGGGCGTGCATGTGGGCGGTGTGTGGGGGAAAGAGGCAGCGACCACTCACACTGCACTGCCACTACCACCCGCACCACCCCCACCACGTCTATCAACGCCTGTTGGGAGGTGGGAGATGAGGAAGGGGGAACGGCATGGGTGTGCGTAGTCTGTGCGGTGCGGGAGCACCATACCGCGAGGGATGCTGATTGCTGTTAAGCACTGCTATCACGTCATACGCCCTCCACCCCCACCCACAGCCCCACTGTGCCACACACCCCACCCCATTCCTTCACCTGCATGCCGCATGCCGTGGCGAGGGAGGAGGTGGGCAGGAAGCGGCGGCATGCCCAACGCGCTACCGGGCCTGGACGCACGGAGTCAGGGTGGCGGAAGCACACAGCCCCACCCATAGCCCCACCTGTATCCCCACCCATAGCCCCACCTGTATCCCCACCCATAGCCCCACCTGTATCCCCACCCATAGCCCCACCTGTATCCCCACCCATAGCCCCACCTGTATCCCCACCCATAGCCCCACCTGTATCCCCACCCATAGCCCCACCTGTATCCCCACCCATAGCCCCACCTGTATCCCCACCCATAGCCCCACCTGTATCCCCACCCATAGCCCCACCTGTATCCCTACCCATAGCCCCATAGCCTCACAGCCCCTCACCTGCATGCCGCATGCCGTGGCGAGGGAGGAGGTGGGCAGGAAGCGGCGGCACGTCCAGCGGGCAACTGGGCCTGGGCGCACGGAGTCAGGGTGGCGGAAGCGACCCTGCATGATGGCCAATGGCGTCTCGCCAAGTGTCACCACGTCGCCTGGTTGCAGATATGGCGCTGCGTAGCTGGAGTGATGGTCGGGAGTACAGTGTAGTGCGGTGCAGCGAAGTGAAGATGGTGGTGAAATCATAGGGAGAAGTGTGATGTGGTGGTACTCGACAAACTAGTGCTAAAGGCCGATGCTTCGAACTTGACAGACCAGAACATGGCAGACTAGAACATGGCAGACTCGAATGGGAATATGCGCAAGTATGGGAATACGAGAGTGCGAGAGAGTACGTGTGGCGGTGTGGAGGTGCGAGAGGGCGAGTGGCGTGTCTCGGCATGGCAGCACGTCTCACCGTTTGAGCACGAGAAGCGGGTCGTCAAGGTGGCACAGCAGGTGTGTTGGCACGGCCAGCACTGATATGCCCGCTGCTATGCTGCCGGGAGGGGAGGGGAAGGGAGGCGAGGACTATGTGGAGCAGAGGTGAATGCGAAAGGCAGGGTAGAAAGCGAGTACGTGTGAGGGCCAGCAGGGGCGAGGAGAGAGAGGGGCATACCTGCGCCACTGAGGGGCGTGGGGAGCAGATGGAGGCGGGCAGGGGGGGAAGGCGAGTGGAAGAATGACGTGCTGCACCAATGGCAGGCTGCCATGTGGCCCGTACGCCGGGTAATGCACGTCCAGCCTGGCCGCCTGTGTGGGGGAGTGATAGAGGTGAGGAGAGGGGCGTGTGTGGTGCGGAGGGAGGGAGACGCGGAAGGAGGGGAGAGAGTGAAGAGGGAGTGATGGAGGGGAGGGGAGTGATGCGGTGCAGAGTGTGCGTTCCAGAGACACGAGAGACACGAGAGACACGAGAGACACGAGAGACAAGCAGAATAAACTGAGGGATGGCGGGGAGGATGCAGTGGGTAAGCGATTCAGTTGTTTGGCGAGCGTGGAAGGTTGACTTTGCTGACTCTTCTCACTCTTCCCCTGCCCTCAAGCTGCCCCTGCCCTCACTCTGCCGCTGCCCTCACTCTACTCCATGCTCACAGGGAAAGGGCTGAATGTCCCTGTCCCCCCCACTCGACTGGTTGGCTTCTGAGTCCACTCAGAAAGCTACTGCTTGTACCTTGAGGTGGGACAGCGCTGCTGCATCGCCAGAATCTGTCGCCCGGATCTCAACAGTGACCTCCATGGCTGTGCCCTTGCCCGCCCGCGTGATGTACGCTGGCCAGTAGCCGTCCGCTCGGGGAACAGGTGAGCCTTCCGGATGGCATGGAGAGATCTGGAAGAGGCGGGCGGGCGAGGGGGAGGAGGAGGTGGTGGATTGAGTAAAAGCCAAAAGACAGCAGATTGAAGTGAACGGAGGAGGGGAGGGAGGAGTTGAATGGGTCAAATGGGCAAGGGGAGCAATACTGAGAGGAGGGGATGGGGAGGAGGTCTGGTGGTGGTAAGGAAGGCGGTGCGAGGGAGTGTGGGGGAGAGTGAAAGAGTCTATGGGGAAGTGAAAGGAGTGCGAGGGAGTGTGAGGGAGTGCAAGGGCATGTGAGAGAGTGTGAGGGAGTGAGGAGGAGGGCGAGCACTGACAGAGACGTGGGTGGAGATGCCGCGGAGGGAGTGGGAGGAGAGCAGCTGCACACTCGCTGTCACATGTGGGATGAAAATCTCCTGCTTGCGTGTCGTGTTGTGGAAACTGGGCGAGGGCGGAGGAGGATGGGCGAGAAGGGGGGGAAAGGCAAGGGGGGACCTTTGAGTCGACTCAGCAGACACATGTGGGATGAATATCTCCTGCTTGCGCGTCGTGTTGTGGAAACTGGGCCAGGGGTGGGGGGAAAGGCACGGAAGAAACTTTCAGGTATGCTAATACTCAATGGAAGCATGATCTTCACTCAATGGTGAAGGCAGGGTACGGTCTCTTAACCCAACCCTGCCCTGTCATCACCTCATCTGCACCCACCATCGCCCTGCCCTCTCCTCATGACCCCCATCGCTCTCCCCATCGCTCTCCCCATCACCCTCCCCATCGCCCTCCCCATCGCCCCCCCTCACCTCATTCGCCCCACGAGGCGGTAGAGCGATGGGCCTCTCTCCTCCCATTGCCAGCTGCCACGTGTCAACAGGAGGCCCCCCGGCACATTGCCGCCCTGCCCACGCACATGCGGGGACACACACAGATGCTCTCACATGCATGCACAGAAACACATGCTTACATGGAAATCTCATACTCCGCTTCCACTCCCCTCGCCCTCCCTTTCTCACCCCATTCATCCCCCTCCCATTCTCATCCCATCCCATCCTCTCCTTCCTCTCCCTCCTCCCCTCCCCACCTGCACGGTCAGCAGACGAGCCTTCTCCTGAGAAAGCCACCTCTCATTGCTTGACACGTCATACGTCCCCGCTTCCTCCAATGCACCCCCTCCCAATGCCGTCAGCTCCCCCGTCCCCTCCGCCGTCCCCGCCGCCGCATTCCGCCACTCCGCGGAATCGCTAGTCCACGCCGCGCCCGCCGCAGACGCCGCCGCGAATCCCGGACGAAGCGTTTTACTTCGTTTTAATGTGACTGTGGCTGTGCGCGATGCGATTCCCCCAAGGTTGCGGCGGGATGGGCGGAGCGGAAGCGCTGTGAGTCCGCCATGGCGGAGCGGCGGCGGAACTCGGGCGCGCGGAGAAGAAAGGGGGAGCGATAGCGCACGGGAGGGCGGGAGGGCGAGTGCGCGGTGAGCGAGGGGAGGTTGGGATGAAAGCATGGGGGTCATCTCGTGTCGCGTGCTCGCAACCCGCCGTGAAGCGCGTAGCAGGCCGTTGCGACTTATGAGAAGGCGAAGCGCGGACTGAGCCGTCGCGTTCTTATAGAAATTTCGACATGGAACAGACGCGAAATTGTTATAAAACATTAGAAGTTACCCGACATAAGCTCATGGCCCAATGAGGGAGATGGTGGTTTCGATCCCCAATTGAGTCACCATTTTGCCTCCCTTTTGCATGATTTCCTCCCTTTCCTTTCAATTTTATTGGCTTGTTACAATCACATGTTCCAATTCAACTTGAGTGCTTAAATGTATGTAGAAACATTCTTCGGAAGAATGTGAATACTACAGCAAGGAACACTACCTAGCATGTACTGCAACCGTAGCACGAGTAGTGTATGATGTGCTGGCAATCATGCCTCATGGCTTGCTGCATCCCCGCACGATGACAATTGGGGTTTGCTGATCCGCATTCCCTGCTATCACACACACAGGCAGAGTCAGGCATGGTGAGTCAGGCATGGTGAGTCAGGCATGGTGAGTCAGGCATGGTGAGTCAGGCATGGTGAGTCAGGCATGGTGAGTCAGGCATGGTGAGTCAGGCATGGTGAGACAGGCATGGTGAGTCAGGCATGGTGAGTCAGGCATGATGAGTCAGGCATGGTGAGTCAGGCATGGTGAGTCAGGCATGGTGAGTCAGGCATGAAGAGTCAGGCATGGTGAGTCAGGCATGGTGAGTCAGGCATGGTGAGTCAGGCATGGTGAGTCAGGCATGGTGAGTCAACTCACAATCAACAGCAAGCGTTGTGCTGCACAACCAGTCATTCACCCATGCATGCACCCAGAGCTTCCCTCCGGCTGCCCAGCTCTCCCCACCTGACAGGAGCGCATCTGCGTCGCAGCCTCAGGGAACACTCTCTGCACCACATTAAACCCCTTGCAACCTGTGTGGGTGTGAGAGCGGGCAGGGCAGCAGCTCACCTGCTGGGTTGGGCAGCAGCGCTGTGGTGAGCCTCTTATGGTCCACCCCTGCTGTCGCCTGCATGCCATGGCGCATGGGGAATGGGGGCATGGAGGCAGGGCATGGGGCATGGGGGCATGGGGCATGGGGCATCGGGCATGGGGGCATGGGGCATGGGGCATGGGGCATGGGGGCATGAGAATGCGGCAAATGATATGTGCATAGGGGCACGGGCATAGGGGCATGGGCATAGGGGCATGGGAATAGGGGCATGGGCATGAGATATGGCCTGCTTTCCTGAATCCTCAATAATCCCTTCGATGCTCTCTACCCAACCCATGCACCACTCATGAGGTCCGATTGTGAAGATCCGTGCTCCCTTGAGCCGATTGACATGCAGCACCCCAGCCCAGCTGCATCCCTCTTAACCTCTCGTAACTGTTAATCATCGCTCTCCACCGCTCACCACCCATGCCAGTGTGGCAGCACTCACAGCGAGGATCTTTACTTTCATGAGGTCGTTGACATCCACCACCGCCACGGCACACCCCAGCACCGCACTCAACCCTCTCACTGTCTCGTGTGGTCGCAGCTGGTGGGGAAGGACAGCGCGACAGAGGAGAGGAGATGAGAGAGGAGAGGAGAGGAGAGGAGAGGAGAGAAGAGGAGAGGAGAGGAGAGGAGAGGAGAGGAGAGGAGAGGAGAGGAGAGGAGAGGAGAGGAGAGGATAGGAGACGAGAGGAGAGAGGAGAGAGGAGAGGAGACGAGAGGAGAGAGGAGAGAGGAGGAGAGGAGAGGAGACGAGAGGAGATAGGAGGAGAGGAGAGGAGACGAGAGGAGAGAGGAGGAGAGGAGAGGAGACGAGAGTAGAGAGGAGGAGAGGAGAGGAGACGAGAGGAGAGAGGAGGAGAGGAGAGGAGACGAGAGGAGAGAGGAGGAGAGGAGAGGAGACGAGAGGAGAGAGGAGGAGAGGAGAGGAGACGAGAGGAGAGAGGAGGAGAGGAGAGGAGACGAGAGAGGAGAGAGGAGAGAGGAGAGAGGAGAGAGGAGAGAGGAGAGAGGAGAGGAGAGGAGACGAGAGGAGAGAGGAGGAGAGGAGAGGAGACGAGAGGAGAGAGGAGAGGAGAGGGGCATGCAAGGGGACGAGTGAGATGAAATGGTTTTAGGGGTGGAGAGTGAGTGTGATGCGGCGGAGCTGTGAGTGAGTGTAATGCGGCTGTGCTCGTGTGGAAAGGCGAGTGGGAGGGAGTGAGGGGAGGTGCAGCGACACCCACGGGGCCGAGGGCAATAAACTGGTCATAGGGTGGGAGCGTGCCGGTGAGGTCATCAATAAGCCTCGCCTGGTAGCCTCCTAGCTGTAGTAGAACACACCCCTCTGCCCCAGCAGCAGCCTCGCCAGTATTGCCACTATCACCGCCAGTACCACGCGCACCACCCCCACCAAGTCGACCAGCACCTGTCGGGAGGGGCAAGAGAAAACGGCATGGTTGCGGAAGGAGGGGCAACGGGAAGTGGGTTTGGAGAGACTGAGAGGGGAGGGGGGAATGACATGGGAGTGGGTAGTTTTCGAGGCGAAGGGGCAGAGACCACTCGCACCACCTCCAACATGTCTGTGGGCGACAAGATAGGCTAGCCTGCACTGCGTGTTGCTGCATGCACGAATCAACAGCTAGGTGCCGCTACTATATCCCACCACCTCCCAAGCCAGCCTGCATGCCACAGGTTGACTTTTGGGTCAACTCAACAGCTAGCCTAGTCCGCACTGCCTGCGCAGATCAACAGCTAGATGCTGCTACTATATCCCACCACCTCCCAAGCCAACCTGAATGCCACAGGCCGCGGCAAGGGAGGAGGTTGGGGCGGGCCAGTTAAATCGACACTGTTCGCAAAAATCGACTCCTAAGCACCGCAACCATGCCCCACCATCCCCACCACTACCCCGCCTTTCACCTGCATGCCACAAGCCGTGGAGAGAGAGGATTTGGGCAGGAAGCAGAGGCAGGCCAGGCGGGCAAGGAGGCCCGGAGGCACGGAGTCTGGATGGCGGAAGCCGCCCTGCATGATGGCCAATGGCGTCTCGCCAAGTGTCACCACGTCGCCCGGCTGCAGATATGGCGCTGCGTAGCTGGTGTGGGTGGATGGGTTGGGATGCGAGTACGGTGCAGTGCGGTGCAGCAGTGAGGATGGCGGTGATGAAACTTGGGAAGAAGCATGATGTGGTGAGACGTGGTGGGATGTGGTGGGACGTGTGCGTGACAAACTAGCCCCACAGGCTGATAGGTCCAACTTGACTGACTAGACTTCACAGACTTGACAGGCTTGCAAGAATGGGAGTGGGAGTAAGCGTGGAGGTGCGGGCGAGGGGGTGAGGGGCGTGTCTCACTGTCACAGCACAGTGAGTTCAGTGACTAGACTTGACTGACTTGACTGATTTGACAGGTTTGCAAGAGGGCGAGGGGTGTGTCTCACCGTTTGAGCACGAGGAGCGGGTCGTCGAGGTGGCACAGCAGGTGTGTTGGGACGGCCAGCACTGATATGCCCGGTGCTATGCTGCCGGGAGAAGAGGGGAAGGGGGGCGATTGTGACGGTGTGGAGCAGAGGAGAAGGCGCATGGAGGGAGGGAGTGGCCGGGGAAGGGAGAAGGGAAGTAAGGGTGAGAGGGCATGCAGGATCGAGGGGCATACCTGCGCCATTGAGGGGCATACCTGCGCCATTGAGGGGCATACCTGCGCCATTGAGGGGCATACCTGCGCCACTGAGGGGCGTGAGGAGCGGATGGGGGCGGGCAGGGGGGGAAGGCGAGGGGCAGAATGACGTGTTGCACCAATGGCAGGCTGCCATGTGGCCCGTACGCCGGGTAATGCACGTCCAGCCTGGCCGCCTGGTGGGTGGGAGATGAGATGGTGGGAGGGACGCGAGGAGAGGAGGGAAGGAGGGAGAGAGTGAAGGAGGGAGGGGGATGGTGGGGGAGAGAGTGAAGGAGGGAGGGGGATGGTGGGAGAGAGTGAAGGAGGGAGGGGGATGGTGGGAGAGAGTGAAGGAGGGAGGGGGATGGTGGGAGAGAGTGAAGGAGGGAGGGGGATGGTGGGAGAGAGTGAAGGAGGAAGGGGGATGGTGGGAGAGAGTGAAGGAGGAGGGGGATGGTGGGAGAGAGTGAAGGAGGGAATCAACGAGAGGAGTGATGGCGGGGTGATGGCGGAGAGGGGAGTGATGCTGTGCAGAGTGTGGGTTTGAGATACCCAAGAGACAAGCAGGAGAAGATTGAGGGAGGGACGGCGAGGGTAGAGTGGGGGAGACGGAACAGGCATGGGCAAGCTCAGATGTAAGAGGCTCAGATGGGAGATTGACTCTGCTTCCTAATCTTACACTCCTCCCTGCCATTGCTCTTCTGCTTGTACCTTGAGGTGTGACAGGGCAGCTGCGTCGCTTGAACCTGAATCTGAGTCTGCCGCCCGGATCTCAACAGTGACCTCCATGGCTGTGCCCTTGCCCGCCCGGACGATGTATGCCGGCCAGTACCCGTCCGCTCGCGGGGCAGGCTGGCCTTCCGGATGGTGCGGAGCGATCTAAAGGGGGCAGGCGGGCGGGGAGGAGTGTGAGGAGGTGATGAATAAAATCCCCTTTCTGGATTTTGAGGTTTCTGAGACATTTGAGGCGCCTCAAAAACCCCAATTGGATGAGTGAGTGTGAGGGAATCAAACCAGCAGAGTCGGAGTTGAGGGGATGAACCAAACTGAACTGAGGGGATGGGGAAAGTTGAACGACCTGAACGGGCAAGGTGAACACAACTGAGGGGGGATGGAGGGGAGTCTGGTGGTTGCAGGCGGTGCGAGGGAGTGTGTAGGAGTGTGAGGGAGAGTGAGAGGGTGCGAGGAAGGATGGAGGAGTGAGGAAGGGTGAGGTAGTGTGAGGGTGTGAGGGAGAGTTGGGCAGTGTTGGGGAGAGTATGGGAGTGTGAGGGCATGTGAGGAAGTGAGGAAGTGAGGAGGAGAGGAGGGCGAGCACTGACAGAGACGTGGGTGGAGATGCCGTGGAGGGAGTGAGAGGAGAGCAGCACTGCCACACGTGCCGTCACATGTGGGATGAATATGTCCTGCTTGCGCTTTGTGTTGTGGAAACTGGGCCAGGTATGGGGAAGAGAAGTGCGGGAGAGGGTCGGGGAAAGGGGCAGAGACGGGGGGAGGGTGGGGGAGCAGCGAGGGGGCTTAGTCCTGGCAAGCAAGCAGCACTGCTGGTAAGTGAGGGGCGAGGGGTTTCCACGCAGCGGCCATATTAGGTAAGTGCCCCCGCCACACGACGGCCTCTCTCCCCTCACTGCCCTGCACACACTCCCCTCACCACATGCCCTGCACCCACCGTGGCTGTACCCCCATCGCCCTCCCCTCACCTCATGCATCCACGCACCACTGTCCCTCGCCACCATCACGATTCAACCCCCCCGCACCGCATGACCCCCATCGCCCTCCCCGCACCTCATTCGCCCCACGAGGCGGTAGAGCGACGGGCCTCTCTCCTCCCATTGCCACCTGCCACGTGTCAACAGCAGACCCCCTGGCACATTGCCGCCCTTTACAGTCACACGTGCATGCAAGGACATACATGCGGCCACACATGGAGGGTCACACACAGGCACCCACACGCATGCACCCGCGCACATAAACACATGTTTGCACACACACACACACACGCACGCACGCACGCACGCACGCACGCACGCACGCACGCACGCACGCACGCACGCACGCGCGCGCACGTGCACGCGCACGCGCACAAGCACAGAAACCCACACACACAACAGGGGAAACGCCGATGAAGGCAGTTTTGAGAACTCTCAAAAGCGACACACGCGATGCTTCTACGAAGCCACGCCCGCCTCTACGCCCTCCACTCCCCTCGCCCTCTTCATCTCGCTCTCAACCCCCTTTCCTCATCCCATCCCCTCGCTCCCATTCCCATCCCCTCCTCATCCTATCCCCTCCTTCCTCTCCCTCCGTCACTCCCCACCTGCACGGTCAGCAGCCGAGCCTTCTCCTCAGAAAGCCACCTCTCACTTCTTTCCACGTCATACGTCCCCCCATCCTCCAATGCGGCCCCCCACACCGTCTTCCGCTCCCCCATCCCCTCCGCCGTCCCCGCCTCCGCACTCCGCCACTCCGCGGGATCGCTACACCACGCCGCGCCCGCCGCAGATGCCGCTGTGATTCCCGGACGGAGCTTTTTACTTCGGTTTGATGTGATTGTGACTGTGATTGTGACTCTGATTGTGACTGTGATTGCGACTGTGATTGCGACTGTGACTGTGTGCGCGGGATGGGCGCAACGGAAGCGCTGTGAGTCCGCTGCGGCGGGGCGACGGCGAAACTCAGTCGGCGCGCGGAGAAGAAAGGGGAAGCGCCGGTAGCGCACGAGGGCGTGGAGAGGCGAGGGCGAACGGAAGGGCGAGTGCGCGGTGAGCGAGGGCATGTCGGGATAAAGGCATGGGGGTCATGTCGCCTGGAGGCATTGCAAACGGCAGTAAATGGAGGAGGGATGGCAGACGGAGATAATAATCACCCAGAGATTTTTTCCGGGAGCCGTGCATGCGCGTGGGCGCAAGTAGGAGCTTCCGCGCAGACTGGGCCAAGGAAACTCGTGCACTATGGGCACAGCCAGAAAATCTGTGCCGGAGACGAGAACTGTAGCATCTGCGGACGCAACAGAAACTATCTTCCGAAGATCGCGTGAGCACGTGCAGTGGAGAGGTGTGCGACTGCTGCGGTGCAGAGGTTCGTGTCTGAACGGCAGCTCGTGAATTTCGGCGAGAGATTCGACGTGCGCGAATTTCGACCAATCGAGATCTTGACGGGAGTTGTACCCGTCAGAAGAAATTGAACGAGTGGAGGAAACAGAACCTTCTACACGCTTTCATAACAGACAAAAACGTGCACAATTATACATTGTACAACCTGAGTAACTTGTCCTTTCACCTGTCATTGCTGAGTTGGCAAGGAATGCTTGGTAGTTATCTGAAAGTTCACCTTGGAACGTTTTTGCAGAATTAGTTGTTCAATCAATTTAGTCTGTGCTTGGATTCTGCTAAGTCATACCCCTGCTACAGTCACATGTTCCAATTCAAACTGAAGTGCTTGAATGTAAAGCCACGGACAAGCATCACTCGTAACCAACATTACGGTACGAAGATGGTACTGCATACTACCTTAGCATGGTACTGCAACAGTAGCACGAGGATGGTCTCCTCATGGCTTCCTCATGGCTTGGTGCATCCACGCACAATGACAATTGGGGTTTGCTGATCCGCATTCCCTGCATTCACACACCCGGGCATTAGAGTGAGTCAGGCATAGTGAGTCAACTCACAATCTACAGCACGAGTTTTAATGCACCCAGAGCTTCCCTCCGGCTGCCCAGCTCTGCCCACCTGACAGGTGCGCACCATCGTCGCAGCCTCAAGAAACACTCTCTCTGCACCACACTAAACCCCTCACAACCTGTGTGAGTGCAGGCAGATCACCTCACCTGCTGGGTTGGGAAGCAGCGCTGTTGTGAGCCTCTTATGATCCACCCCTGCTGTCGCCTGCATACCATGGCGCATGGGGACATGGGGGCATGGGGGCATGGAGGCATGGGGACATGGGGCATGGGGACATGGGGCATGGGGCATGAGAATGCGGCAGATAATATGTGCACGGGGCATGGGGCATGAGATATGGCCTGGTTACTTGAATCCTCAATTATCCCTTCGATGCTCTCTACCCATGCACCACTCAGGAGGCCCTATTGTGGAGATTGGTGCTTCCTTGAGCCTATTGACAGGCACCGCCACAGCCCAGCTGCATCCCTCTTTACCCCTCGTGACCGTTCATCACCGCTCTCCACTGCTCACCACCGCTCTCCACCCATGCTAGGTGCGGCAGCACTCACAACAAGAATCTTCACTTTCTTGAGGTCGTTGGCATCCACCACCGCCAAGCCACACCCCAGCTTCATCCCTCTTCACCCTCCGTAACTGCCTATCACCGCGTCACCCCTCATCACCGCTTGTTACCGCTCACCACCCATTTAGGCACTCACAGCGAGGATCTTGACTTTCTTGAGGTCGTTGACATCCACCACCGCCAAGCCACACCCCAGCTTCGCACTCAACCCTCTCACTGTCTCGTGCACGCTCAGCTGTGAGAGAGTGGGGGAGAGGGAAGTGTGAGAGGCAGGTGACAGGGCCGGGGGGGTTGGGGGTTGGACTTGAGGTCGTTGACATCCACCACCGCCACGGCACACCCCAGCTTCGCACTCAGGCCCTTCACCGTCTCGTGCACGCTCAGCTGAATAGCGGGGAGGGGTAGCAAAAGAGGGAAAAACAGCACGCAAGGGGCCGAGGGTGATGAACTGGTCGTAAGGAGGCAGAGTGAGTGTAATGCGGCTGTATGTGAGTGTATGTGCGCCTTTTGAGGAGCCTTTAGAAGGTATGTGTATGGTATGGGGGCTATGTGCGCCTTTTGAGGAGCTTTAGAAGGTATGTGTATGGTATGGGGGCTATGTGCGCCTTTTGAGGAGCCTTTAGAAGGTATGTGTATGGTATGGGGGCTATGTGCGCCTTTTGAGGAGCCTTTAGAAGGTATGTGTATGGTATGGGGGCTATGTGCGCCTTTTGAGGAGCCTTTAGAAGGTATGTGTATGGTATGGGGGCTATGTGCGCCTTTTGAAGCGAGGTGCCTTAGAAAGGTACGTGTGTGGGGGCATATGCAAGAGAGGAGAAAGGCTCACGGTGCCAAGGGTGATGAGCTGGTCGTAGGGGGAAAGGGTGCAGGTGATATGGGTGTGAGCATGTGTGGCGTAAAGGCATCAATTGGTCGTAGGGGGGAAGGGTAGAGAGAGAGGAAGCAGCACTCACGGGGCCGAGGGTGATGAACTGGTCGTAAGGGGGAAGCGTGCAGGTGATGTCATCGATGAGCCGTGCCTGGTACCCTGCCAGCTGGTAGAACACTCCCCTCTTTCCCAACAGCAGCCTCGCCAGTATTGCCACTATCACCGCCAGTATCACGCGCACCCACCCCACCAAGTCGACAAGGACCTGTTGGGAGGGGCACGGGGGAACGGCATGGGTGGGTGCGGAAGGGATGCAAGGGTGTGGAAGGAAGGTAAGGAGGAAGAGGCGGCAGGCTAAGCGTGCAGGGAGGCCCGGGCGCAGAGAGTACGAGTGGCGGAAGCACACAGAAAAAAACCCACAGCAACACCCACATGCCCCACCCATGGCCCTAGCCCCTAACACAACCCCAACCCACCTGCATGCCACACGCGGTGGCGAGCGAGGAGGCGGGCAGGAAGCAGAGGCAGGCCAGGCGCGCAAGGAGGCCCGGAGGCACGGAGTCCGGGTGGCGGAAGCCGCCCTGCATGATGGCCAATGGCGTCTCGCCAAGTGTCACCACGTCGCCCGGCTGCAGATACGGGGCTGCGTAGCTGGTGTGGGCGGGATGAGATGGGATGGAGTCCAAGTGCAGCGCGGTGCAAGATTCTGGTGAAGTTTGGGAGGAAGTGTGGATCAAGTTGTCCGCCATCTTGATCTGCCAGTAACCCGACCGTAGGTCAAACTTTGAGAATACTATTGCACCACGCAGTTGTGATGTGTTCGGTGGGTGGTGTACTCAACAAACTGACGGAACAGGCTGATGGGTCAAAATGAGCTGACTAGACTTGGATGGGAGCGTAAGAATTAGAATGAGAGTGAGCGTGGGGGCACTAGATAGACTTCACTGGTTAGACCGACTTCACTGACTAGACAGACTTGAAAGAGGGCGAGGGGCGTGACTTACTGTCGCAGCACAAGAAGCGGGTCGTCAAGGTGGCACAGCAGGTGTGTTGGGACAGCCAGGGTTGATATGCCCGGTGCGATGCTGTCGGGGAGGAAAGAGGGGAAGGGTGTGGAGCAGAGGTGAGGTGAATGCGGGTGGAGGGGTGGGGCGGAAGAGGAGAAGGAGAAATGGGGCAGAGGGCGAGTTGCGGTGGAAAAAAACAGCGTTGAGGGGCATACCTGCGCCATTGAGGGGCATACCTGCGCCATTGAGGGGCATACCTGCGCCATTGAGGGGCATACCTGCGCCATTGAGGGGCCTACCTGCGCCATTGAGGGGCGTGAGGAGCGGATGGGGGCGGGCAGGGGGGGAAGGCGAGGGGCAGAATGACGTGTTGCACCAATGGCAGGCTGCCATGTGGCCCGTACGCCGGGTAATGCACGTCCAGCCTGGCCGCCTGGTGGGGGGGAGATGGTGGGATGGAGATGGTGGAAAGGAAAAGGTGGGAGATGCCAGGCATGGGCTGTTGATTCAAGCTCAGTTGAAAGCGGGGAAATTGAATTGGCTGACTGCTCTCGCTCTCCTCCCTGTCATCGCTCCACTGCTTGTACCTTGAGGTGTGAGAGGGCTGCATCGTCGTCAGAATCTGCCGCCCGGATCTCAACAGTGACCTCCACGGCTGTGCCCTTGCCCGCCCGGACGATGTATGCCGGCCAGTACCCGTCCGCTCGGGGGGCAGGCTGGCCTTCCGGATGGTGCGGAGCGATCTAAAGGGGGCGGGCGGGGGGCGGGCGGGGAGGAGGTCTGTTACGCATTGACACGACACCAAGTTAGAGGCGTAGCGTAAATGACACAGCAGGTAATGGTGTGTGTGTGTGTGTGTGTGTGTGAGAGAGAGAGAGAGAGAGAGTGTGTGTGTGTGTGTGTGTGTGTTTCTTTTTCTTTCTTTCGTTCTTTCTTTCTTTCTTTCTTTCTTTCTTTTTTTCTTTCTTTCTTTCTTTCCCAATTTTTCTCTGTATATTCGTTTTCAGAGCCGGGTTGTTGGTGGTTCGATTCGAGTTTGAGGCAGATTTGGGGTGTCTGGTGAAGGTCGCCTGGCTCCCCAACTGAATTGTTTCTCGAGAATTCTCGGAAATGGTGAGGATTGAAGGACCAAAATGGGCACGGGGAGCAAAACTGAGTGGAGGGAATGGAAGTCTGGTGGCTGCACTGCACGGGTGGAGGTGCGAGGGAGAGCGAGAGGTAGCGCGAGGGAGAGCGAGAGGTAGTGCGAGGGAGAGGGAGAGGTAGTGCGAGGGAGAGCGAGAGGTAGCGCGAGGGAGAGCGAGAGGTAGTGCGAGGGAGAGCGAGAGGTAGTGCGAGGGAGAGCGAGAGGTAGCGCGAGGGAGAGCGAGAGGTAGTGCGAGGGAGAGCGAGAGGTAGTGCGAGGGAGAGCGAGAGGTAGTGCGAGGGAGAGCGAGAGGTAGTGCGAGGGAGAGCGAGAGGTAGTGCGAGGGAGAGCGAGAGGTAGCGCGAGGGAGAGCGAGAGGTAGTGCGAGGGAGAGCGAGAGGTAGTGCGAGCGAGAGCGAGAGGTAGCGCGAGGGAGAGCGAGAGGTAGTGCGAGGGAGAGCGAGAGGTAGTGCGAGGGAGAGCGAGAGGTAGCGCGAGGGAGAGCGAGAGGTAGTGCGAGGGAGAGCGAGAGGTAGTGCGAGGGAGAGCGAGAGGTAGCGCGAGGGAGAGCGAGAGGTAGTGCGAGGGAGAGCGAGAGGTAGTGCGAGGGAGAGCGAGAGGTAGCGCGAGGGAGAGCGAGAGGTAGTGCGAGGGAGAGCGAGAGGTAGTGCGAGGGACTATGAAGGAGTGTGGTGTGGTGTGGGGAGGTAGCACTGACAGAGACGTGGGTGGAGATGCCGTGGAGGGAGTGGGAGGAGAGCAGCACTGCCACGCGTGCCGTCACAGTTGGCAGGAATATGTCCTGCTGCCGCCTCATGTTGTGGAAACTGGACGGGGGGGGGGGGGAAGGTGAGGGAATGGGGAGTTTTTTTAGTTGACTCGGAAGACACATGTGGCAGGAATATGTCCTGCTGCCGCCTCACGTTGTGGAAGCTGGGCCAGGGGCGGGGGGCAGGGAGGAAAGGGAAGGGGGAGACTTGTGAGACTTAACACTGCAGTGCACTGCACTGCAACCAACAACGCCCTCCCCTCACCTCATCTGCACACCCTGCTCTCCCCTACCCCCACCTCATCGCCCTCCCCTCCCTATCGCCCTCCCCTGCCCTCACCTCATGCAACAACCCACTCCTGCCCCTCACCACCATCACAATTCACCCCTCCCCTCACCTCATGACCCCCAACGCCTTCCCCACCCCATCACCCTTCGTTCTCACCTCATTCGCCCCACGAGGCGGTAGAGCGACGGGCCTCTCTCCTCCCATTGCCAGCTGCCACGTGTCAACAGCAGCCCCCCTGGCACATTGCCGCCCTGCACACACACATGCGCGTACAGACACATGCACATGCAGACACTCACATGCATGCAACCATGCACAGACACACATTGTAGACACACTCTCGACAGGAAAATTGGCGGCAATATCAAAACACGCCCTTTTCATCTCGTCCTGTTCATCTCGTCCTGTTCATCTCGCCCCTTCCTTCATTCCGCATCCCATCCCGTCCCCTCGCTCCCTCCTCATCCCATCCCCTCCTTCCTCTCCCTCGTTCCCCCCCCACCTGCACTGTCAGCAGCCGAGCCTTCTCCTCAGAAACCCACTTCTCATTGCGTGCCACGTCATACGTCCCCGCATCCTTCAATACGCTCCCCCGCGCTGCGGCTCCCTCCGTCGCCCCCTCCGCGGGATTGCTAGCCCACGCCGCGCCCGCCGCAGATGCCGCCGCGAATCCCGGACGGAGCATTCTATTTCAATGCGATCTAATTGTTTCTGTGCCTGTGTCCGGTGGGATCCACCGAGGTTGCGGCGGGATGGGCGGAGCGGAAGCGATGTGCGTCCCCCCTGGCGAAGTCGGGCGCGCGGAGAAGCAAGGGGGAGCGGTAGCTCACGGGGGTTGCGGGTAGGCGAAGGGGAATGGACGAGTGAGAGCGCGGTGAGCGAGGGTGTGTTATGAGATCAGTATACAGTTGACAGTACTGTTTGTTTGATCAGGGGGGAGGACGGATGGGCGAGTGTGATGTGGGTCTCGTGGGGTTGCGTGATTGGTGGAAAATTGACGAATGACGGGACAGCGACAAGACCACGTGAATGGAAGGGGAAGGATTGCGTGTGCAACAGGAAGTAAATAAACAAATTGTATAATATGGTTCAACTCCAAACATGACTCCATGGCCCAATGGATAAGGCGCTGGTCTACGGAACCAGAGATTCTGGGTTCGATCCCCAGTGGAGTCGACGTATTGCCTTCCATCACTCTTCCCCGCACAATCCCAACCTTGTTTTCTCTTTTTCCCACCTCTGGCATGCATGCTGTCAGCAATGCTCGCTCTGCGCCCTCTGCGCGTCGCTTCTCTCTCTCCCCGCCTTTCCCTCTTGCGTTCGTCCTGCGCGCTCGCTCATGCATCGCGGTACCCGGGGAGGGCGGAGCCCATTCCTGTTGCGCGCAGTAGGCGGACTGATGGAGCGCGCGCGGGAAGTCGCCCCATACCGCGCGCTATGGGAGCAGCGCCAATTGCGGTAGCCCTTGCAGTCCCAGACGAGAAAGAACATGAACCGTTGTATCCTGATAGAGACTCCAGGAAGGAGGCCCCTGAACCGTCAGATGCGCAACCTGCTGCTGACGCGGCGGAGCGCGAGCCCCGCCCCGGCGCGGAGCGCGCAAACCCGCGCTCGGCTCCGCAAAGAGAAAGCTCCCGCGCGCAGCAGACGGGGGGGGAAATCCCCCCTCCGCGGAGCAATGCGGAGCTGATGGCGGAAGGGGGCAGAGATGCGGGGAGCAGGGGTCGCGGAGGCGGGGGGAGGCGGAGGGCGGGCGCGAGCGTGGGGGTGGACTATGGCGGGCGGCGGACAGGCGTGGCAGTGAGCTACAGTGGCTTCGCCCCTCGACCAATCACGGTGAGGCTCACACGGCAGTCAGTCAACGAACCCCAGCCCACACTAGGCCTCATGATATGTCCGTAGCCCATTTCCGACTCACAAGTCGCCCTTCTGGCCGCCACCCGTCCTTTTCCCCATTGCGCACCCCAGGGTCACTCCTGTCATTCCACGTCTCTCCTCATCCCCCCTGCACTCTTGCATGTTCTGCCGCTCGCTCGTATCCTCTCCTCCCCATCCATCCGTCGCTCACTGTGTCCCCCACTTTCCCTTCTGCGGTCCTCCTCCCCAATCTCGCTCTCTCTGCCGCCGAACTGGGTGGGTGCGGGTCCTGCAGGTGCTGACGTCAAGAGGCCCTCAACTGGTGGCGGATCTGCTGAAGCTGGCCAAGGACGAGGTGAGAGGGGGACGAGGGGGGGAGGGGGAGAGGAGGAACGATTTTTGAGAACTCAAAAAAATCGCTCACAAGGGGGAGAGGAGAGGAGGAGCAGGTGCTGACGTCAGGAGGCCCTCAACTGGTGGCCGATCTGCTGAAGCTTGCCAAGGACGAGGTGAGGGGAGGGGGGCGGACGGGGTTTGAGAAAAGGGAGAAGAATTTCGAGATGCTGAAGCTTGCCAAGGATGACGTGAGGGGAGAGTGGGGCGGGGAGGGGATTTGAGATGTCTCAAAAAGCTGCTGAAGCTGGCACGGGATGAGGTGATGGGAGAAGATGAGGTGAGGAGGGGGGGGGGTGAGGAGCAGGCGCGAGAAGAGTGAGAGGGGGTGGGGAGGGGGAGAGACGAGGGGGTGCTGGATGCGCATGTGGGAGGGGCAACAATGGGAGATGGGGGTGGAGTTGTTGAGTCGGCAGATGAGTGTCTTGATTCTGTTGAGTTGTTGAGTGTCGGCAGATGGCGCACCTGTCCTCTCCCTTCCATTCCCCCCTCTACATCTCTCTTCCCCAGGGAGTGGACGAGTTGGTGGTTGGGCTGCCCCCCATCTCCCCCCTCCCCCCGACTCCCACCGTCTCTCCTCGTCTCCCCCGTCTCCCACCTCTTTCCCCCCACACGCCCAGGGGGCGGACGAGCTAGTGGTGGGGCTACCAGTGTCGTGGGATCGATCCGAGGGCCCACAGGCCGCCACGTGTCGGCAATTCGCGCAATCGCTAGCCAAGCCAGCTGCGGTGCAGTGAGTGGGCTTGTTGACTCACATATCGTGCTGTTCAGCTTCATTGTATGCATCCCCAAATTTGTGCTGTTCTCCCGCCTTCCACAAACTCATGCGTTGCTCTGCCATCTCTGCCTCACGTCTCTCATATGACCCACATGTGCCATTTGTCTCATGTATGCCCGTGCAAGCACAGGGGGGTGAGAGTGTTCCTGCATGACGAGTACAGCACATCTCAAGATGCTCTCGACCTCATGATCCAATCGTAAGCTGCCACGTCATCATCCCCCGTGCATGCTTTCCTAGAGTCCTGCCAAAAGGACTTGTGACAACAACTTCTCTTGCCATGCTCCGTTCACTCCTTGTCCTCGCCCCGTCTCCCCACTCTCCTCGCCCCGTCTCCCCACTCTCCTCGCCCCGTCTCCCCACTCTCCTCGCCCCGTCTCCCCACTCTCCTCGCCCCGCACCTCACATCACTGTCAGTGGTCGTGGCAGGAAGGACAGGCAAGAGATGCTCGACGCCTTTGCTGCCGCTGTCAGTGCTCCTCAGCTCCTCGAAACCATGCTTTTTCCAGCTCCTCGAAACCATGCTATTATAACTAGGGTTCAAGAGAGCATGCATGCAACCAGCAAACTATGCCTGACCGTTCTCCAATCCCCCATTTCACGCCGTTCACACTCTTCCCCGCGCTGCTCACACTCTTCCCCATTTCACGCCGTTCACACTCTTCCCCGCGCTGCTCACACTCTTCCCCATTTCATGCCGTTCACACACCTCCCCCATCCCTCCCAGGTGCTCCTGCGGTCCTACTTCGAGTCCCAAGGGGTGCACGCCACGCCAGTGCTGCCCAAAAGTAAACTCCTTCAACGTCAGCTCTGCTCCCACCAACGCTTTCCTGATCCTAATGCCACTGCACAAGAATCCTCTGCTGAGTCCGCATCCCTGGGAACACCTGACTCCTCTTCTGCTGTTGGAGCCTCTACAACAGCTGCAGGCTCTGCTGCTGCAGATGTGACTGTGTCTGCAATGCCAGCAGCAGAGCAAGACCGCCATACAGTCGCACCACACCGAGTCACGTTGAGAAACAAGGGAGTTGCACGGAGCAGCAAGGCTTCATCGGTTGACAGTGTGCATGAAGCTGTGGATCCAAGTGCTCGGAGCAGAGACAATGGAGAGAGGAGGAAGAGGCCTGTTGCTAGTAGTAGCCCTGTTGCCACCAGGCAGGTTGTGAAGAGTAGAGATGACTACGATGATGATGAGGATGATGATGACAGTCTGTTTGATGGTGACTGGGAGGCAGCTTTCAAGCTCAAGTAATACCTGTCCGTCCAGTGCTCTCCTCATTCCAATCTTCATTTGGTTTCATGAGGCAGGCGTTCACAGCAGCAAGAATCTGAGCATGGGCCATGAAAACGACTGGCTGGCCTGTACAGTAGCAGAGCAGTCCGAACAGTTCATTGCGCAAGACAAGGTTCTCTGGGATGGAATGGCTTCCACCTTACAAATGAATAAAATGGCATTCAGGTTTGCCCACAACGTACCACCTATGCACCTAACTACACCTACCGCCTCAAAAGAGCATATGGTGAGGCAGGCAAGCAAAGCAGCTTACGGTATTTTTCTTTCGCATCGGCTGCCAGTATATGGTGGTAACCACCCTCGGTCCTCACTCAGTTCACAGGGGGAAGCGTGTCCATGGGGGGAAGGCCCATTCCTCCCACACCTCCGCCCATGCCCCCCACTACCCCCATGGGTCCCCCCATCTGCCCCGGCCGCTGTGCACCATGCATTGGAGAAGAGGTCCCATGGAGTGGTGACGGCGACGACGAGTGCAGCACCCCCGGCCCCCCATGCACGGGATTTCCCCCCCCGCCATGCAGCGCCTGGGGGGGCCCAGGGGGAGCCCCTCCCACTCCCCCGCCCCCTCCGCCTCCACCCTGGTGCAGCGGCGGGCCGACGTTGATGAGGAGCTGCGCGAGCCATCGGCGTGTGGTGACGTCGTCGCGCAGGCACGCCGAGAAGGTGGCGTCTCGGAGCAGGTCGGGCAGGCAGGTGCGCAGGGCCTCGCCCGCGCGGGGGTTGTCGGAGAGACGCAGGTAGCAGCGGATGATGTGCTTTAGGAGACGGACGGATGGGTGCTCTGCCAGTAATTGTACCATGTTGCCTAGCACGGCGCTCACCTGGCGGGAGGGGAAAGGAACAAGAAGGGAAACAAAAGAAGGAGAGAGGTGAAGGGAATGGACGTTGACAGAGGATGATGTGCTGCTGTGCTGCTGTTGGCGAGAGGCCAAGTAAAGGGCGCGCTGCAGCTGTTTCAAGGTTGAAATCACTCACTTCACTATCTCGGAGCAGAATCATCCGCACAATGAACGCATGCACTACGTCCCCCTGTGCTACCTCCCTTCACCACAATCCACGACCCGGTCACTCACAGCGAAGAACCGCTCAGCAGTGGCGCAGATGTAAGCGAGAGCAGGATCTTTCGCACTATGAACGTGGCCACCGTCTCGAACCCTCCCCATGCCCCCATGACCTTCCACCACACAGAACTGCTCTGCACCGCACCACACATGCCCGGCAGCACTCACAGCGAAGAACCTCTCAGCAGTGGCGCAGATGTAAGCCAGCCCCACGTCGTCGAGCAGGATCTTCTGCACTATGAAGGTGGCCACTGTCTTTGAGAGCTCCGACCCCATCTCCATGGTGCGCAGACACAGAGGGATGATCTCCGTTGAGAGGAGGAAGTTGACCACGTCTGTATCGTCCACCTGTGGTGGGTGGTGATGGTGGGTGGGGGAGCAAGCGGGAGAGCAACAAGGGGCAGCAACGGTTCTGTTGGAGAGCTCCGACCATCCCTTTCCATGGTTCGCAGGCACAGGGGGATGATCTCCGTTGACAGCAGGAAGTTGACGACGTCTGTGTCGTCCACCTAAGTTGGGGTTGAGGGGAGGAGGGACGAGAGGGATACGGGGCAGCATAATCTCACTTGGAGAGTTTCGAGGCCCATGGACTTATTGATCCCCATGGATTGCCGTAGAGAGCAAAAACTTCACCACGTCTGTGTCGTCCACCTGAAGTGGGGAGGCATGCCATGCATCAGCTGGCTGGTTTGCTGTTGTTGACTTGGAAGTGACCTTGACCTGTTGATACCCATTGACTGACCTAGACTTTTGTTAATTGGTCGTGACTTGCGTTGACTGAACTTGACTTGCGATGACTGAATCTGACTTGCGTTGACTGACCTTGACTAGCGCGCCAATGACGCCCAGGGACGTGAGGCGCAGGTACTCAAAGGGGCGCGTCTTGCTGACCGTGTTCAGGAAAGGGTACAGGTACAGCGGTATGTGCGCTGATGGGGGGCGAGCGGGGTGGGGGTGGGAGCAGAGGGTAGGAGGGGACACGCCAAGTGCATTGATGAAGGGGAGAATTGTGGCGGAACAAAGTGCAGAGAAGAGCACAGGGACAGTAGACGGGGTTCATGCCATGGAACAGAAACACAGTGACAAACGAGCAGAAAATACAGTGGTTTAGAAGAGGAAGGGGAGTGGGGGGGATGGATACCCAGGGTAACAAGTAAGGAGGGAGCGAGAGGCTTGCCATTAAGATGAGCACACGCAACCCGGTAATGGGTGAAAGAGAGAGGGGGTACCGTTGAGGAAGAGCACGCGCGTCTCAGGGTGCGAGGCGACGCACTGCAGCACGGCGAGCGCGTTGCACGCGCGGTTGGATGCCCCCGCTGTCAGCGTGGGCGGTGATAGCATGGGGTATATCGCCACCACCTCCTGTTGGCCGCACACATGGCATATCATAGGACATGATATAGATAACTATCATGTGATGTGCGTAAGGGTATGATTCAGGCGCCACAACAGTGGGCAGCGAGAGCATGGAATAGATGAGCATGGGACCGCGGGTAAACCGTAAGGGGCTTGAGAAGATGAGTGGGGGTTGTGATTGTGTCAGGAGATAACGTGCCTGTAGAAGCGTTGTGATTGTACCGCAGCTGTGCCACAGAAGCAACGCGAGGTCGGGATACGCCTCCCGTCTCTGCCAAACAAGAGCACGCAATCATAAAAAGTACAAGGGCACGTTAGAACACGGGAAATTCTGAGGCCTTACTAATCGCACGGTGACGCATTTAGAACGCGGCGCTTATCGTCTCTCAACACAGAAAAGCTCCAATCGAACGCTCTCTGCTATCCTACTAAGTGTCTCACTTTGCTAAGATCCAGAAGCGCGTTCTCCCGCTGCTCGGGAATGCTAAGCTCCAGCACCAGCTGCTCCGGGGTAGCCATGGCCGAGCCTCCGCGACTCACGGCGCAGCGAAGCTCGAAAACCTAGTAATCAGTCCCCTCAGGGCCTCGAAGCGAGCAGTGAGAGAGCGCGAGAGCCTAGAGTTCTCTAGATACAGGTATAACCCAGTATAGGTTTAGATATTGGTCTCTACGTATAGTCCTAGTAACTGATTTCAGAAGATCCTGAAACACCAGGTTCAGAAGACGGTGTATGAGCAGCGAGAAGCTGCACGTAGTAAGGAAGGACAGGAAAGTCACGGAGCTTCGAAAGTAAAGATGTATGAACGAATGAAGCTAAGGGACCAGCGCAGCGAGCGGGTGTAATCGAAGCGTCCGTGGCTGCTCTTTATCGTAACGAGACTGCCTGAGGAGACAGCGCGCGCGACTGTCATAGACTCTGCTTGACAAGGTCGAATCGCGGTTAAAACACTAAACACGACAATTCATGGATCCGATAGCGGCGGACTTTTGAATGATCGAAAATCCCGGAGCGATTTTCCCTTTCCCAAACACGCCGTCATTCTAGGCTAACCTTGGGCTGCCTATCATTCCCTCCTGTCCGCCAAGCATGGGACCTTTCCTGGCCTAAAATCTTCGCTCGGCGAAAGAGTGCGTGAGGCTCTGGGAACTGGTGTTGCTGTCAGACCTAGAGAATGCCTGATGCGAATCCCCAACCCGTATCTTCTTATAACGAATACAACTGCACATGCTCAGCTACACTATCTTTTATTTCCAATCGTACATGCCTGGATTATTCAGGCATGCATGTTTCTATACATGCTGTACAAACTAAAACGGAATCACTCCTCATCACTGTCATCATATGCTAGGCCAAGGAGACCAGCTCCTTGAGGTTCCGCTGAAGTTGGTTTCGCTTCATGGTCTGTCGATGTGGCTTGCTTGGCTTCACATGATGATGGAGAGCTCTTTGCATCCTCTTGACTTGATAGAGTAGAGGCTATGGCTGAAGCACCCAAGCTGAACACTTTGACAGCACCATTTGATGCTTTCTCGTGTCGTGTCGATGCTTCCGTTCCTTGGCTTGAGTCAAGCCGAGCCCGTTTCGGTTTCACTTCAACGATTGCTTTAAGGAGTGTCTTTTGCCTGTCATGTAAAAAAGAAAAGAAAAGAAAAGAAACAGTAAAATAAACATCAGGGAAAGATAACTGAAGCGAGGGCAGATCATAAAAGCACATTCAACAATGTAAGCGAGCATAGACTGGAAAGCATTGTTTGTAACATGTTACCACATCCAATGTACCATGCCACCACACCTGTTGGGGAGAGATGCTTTAGGCGGTGCTGCGGGGGAGCCTGCAGGACTGGCCAACGCTGGTGGCTGTGGGCTGTCGCTCTTGGATGCTGCTGCGTGCATGGGCCAACACAGCAAGATGGGTCAAAACTATCAGGATAAAGAGCTTGGGCGTCCATGAGTGCAGACACGCATGTGTGGAACGGTGATGAGGATGAAGGTTGGAAGGGAGGAGGAGAGGGGAGGAAGGGATGGGGGGAAGGAGGGGGGGGGGGAGGAGGAGGAGGAGGAGGAGGAGGAAGAGGAGGAAGCAACCCATGAACCAAGCGAAGCATAGGAGCCCAGTAAGGCTGGTTACCACCACACGCTAAAACATGACATGCAACATAGCAGAACGGTGGCAGGAACGACAAGGAGGAATGGCACACGCAAAGCACGCACAACAGTAGAAGAACCAGCATAAGGGGGAAAAGACAGGTACGATTGAACGGCAGGTTACAGAGAAAGAGAGACAGGGTGGTGGAGAAAGGAAGAAAGGGCAGATAATGGCAGGGAAGGGGCGTATCTTAAGAGCAGCGAAGGCCCTCTTCTCTGAGTGCTGCCTTAGCTTCTCCGTCTCCTCCTCTGCGCGGATGTGCTCCCGCAGGTAGTTCAGGTCGTCATGGTCCAGCGCTGCTTGCACGGCGGGTTCGAAGAGGCAGCACAGCACGGGGAAGCGGGTTGTGAAGGAAAACGTTTGGTGGATGCGTGGCGGATGAGCGACAGATGCTTAGTTGAGGCCATTGAGGAACACTTGGAGTTCGGTTCGGTCCCTGCACTGCACGGCTCAATGCTGGCTGGCTTCAGTGTGGGGAAAAAATGGAGGAGGGAGCATCTGATACGTTGAGTCTGATGCCACGAATGATCCAACAGTGAGGTCCCTCGCGCGTCTAACTCGCAGGTACTAAAAGGTACTCTCAGGCACTCTAAGGCCCTCACGGGGACTCTCAGCCTGCACCAGGTCTCACCTCCGCGGCCGTGCAGGTACCCGATGGGTCGCGCCTCCTCCTTCATGAGCGCCATGAGCCGCTTGTACGCCGCCGCGTCGCGGTCCTCCGCGCCCTGCTCCGCCACCGTCACGCGCCCGAACCGACCCACTGCGGAAATCGCGGCCACGACACACACGGGTGGGGAAGACGATTCTTAAGACTTCACAAAAAGCAGTCCTCCGCACCCTGCTCCGCCGTCACGCGCCCGAACCGACCCACTGCGGGGGGGGGGAGGGGGGAAGAAAAGGAATCGCAGCGACAAACCACACGGGTGAGGAAGCAGGGAGCGACACGAGAGATTTGGAATGGTTTGGATTTGCAGGGGAGCCTTAGGGTAGAGACACGACAGGCTGAAAGGAGGGAACGACGTGACGTGTTGGCAGGGACTAACGGATTGCCGAAGGCTAACAGGATGAATGCAGGGGAAGTCAGTTCATATAGAGAGTGGTACATGACGGAAGGACCTTTTACGAGCGGAAGGTTGGTCGAATCGTTGTCCTCTCGCTTCCCCATGGCTGACGGATTCAACGACAAGACGACGAGATGAGAAAGCGAGTACCAAGCTGACCGGCGAGCGAGCGAGCGACAAGGAAGGAGGCAGCGCGGGAAAATAGGAGTGTGCTGGTTGATGGTGGAGCGAGGGACGCAGGAGTAAGGGAAAATATGTCAATGGTAACTTACATGGGGAACTATAACCTGTATGGTAACGATTTCAACGCGTTTGGTAACTCGCTTAACGCGTTTGGTAAGTCGCTTAACACGTTTGGTAACTCGCTTAACGCATTTGGTAACTCTACACTAGCAGCCCATCACGCGAATGGTAACTACATGAAATTTATTCGTCAATTTATTCTGACGCGAGCGGGAATTTCATGTAGTTACCATTCGCGTGATGGGCTGCTAGTGTAGAGTTACCAAATGCGTTAAGCGAGTTACCAAACGTGTTGAGCGACTTTGTTATGAGTTGTGAAAGAAGAGAGTGCGCAGAACTCAATAATGCGGAAGTGATTACAACGTCTGCATGAACAACGAGGCCTAGGCACAATATAGCAAGTCCTAGCTAGGCCGAGGTCGCGGGGTCGCGAGATGGTTGGGTGCAGGTTCGGGGTTGGAAAACCCGAAGGCGACGCGGTGGTGGCTCGGAAGGCGAGGTCGGCGGACCGAGCCTGGTTTTCCGAAAGTCGGGGTTGTACGCGTACGGAGTGACCCAGTAAGGAATCCGAAAAATTCCTTACACTACCCCCCCCTTTAAGAAAGGTGGTGAATATCCGAGACACCTCGGCGGGCCAGGTAAGCATCCACAACCGGATGTCCCAGTAGCGAGTCCGCGTTGACGTACGTGTCGTCCTCGCTCGTGCGTTCTTTCCAGCAAAGCAGGAACTTGACCGAACGGGCGGCGGCGGTCACCTCCACACGATGGTTGAGAATCTTCCAAGGTTCCAGCGTGGGCTCTGCCACGGGGCGTGTGGTCGGCGCGAGGGATGGCCGAGCAACAGCTGGCGACTGCGGCTGTTCGTAATGACGCAGTAGGCTGACGTGGAATGCGTCATGGATTTTCCAGTCATCGGGTAGCAGCAGCTTCGCGGTGACAGGTGTCACCATCTGGATGATACGAAAGGGTCCCACGTATCGGGGCCGTAATTTCGCGGGCTGCGGCAGCCGGAGATTTTTGGTGTCGAGTAGCACAACCTGCCCTGCGCGGAAGGGTAAATTCCGTCGATGCTTGTCCGCCTGGTGGCTGGCTGTGGTATTAGCCCGTCGAATAAAATCAGCTGCTTTCGTGCGGGCGGTCTGCAGCTCCGTGACAAATTGTTGTGATCGTGGTACCGGGTTGTCCACAGTCGTTGAAGAGGGTACCACGGGGTCTATCCCGTAATTTAGGAAGAACGGTGACTGTCGAGTCGTGGCCGAAGGGGCGTTGTTGTACGCAAATTCCAGCATCGGCAGCGAATCCTCCCACTTGCGGATGTCGGGGCAGTTGGTGCGAATCAGTTGCTCCATGGTCTGATTTGTCCGTTCCGTCTGTCCGTCGGTTTGCGGGTGGTATGACGACGAAAACTGCAGGCGGGTACCGTACTGTGCCCACGTCTCCTGCCAGAACTTCGACGTGAACTTCGGATCACGATCGCTGATGATCGCCGAAGGTAACCCGTGTAAGCGTACGACGGTGGAGATGAACAGTTTAGCTGTATCTTCGGCTGTGATCGTCGTGCGGCATGGGGCGAAATGCGCCATTTTCGTTAGGCGATCGACGACGACCATTACCGAGTCGTTGCCACTCGCGCCAGCTGGTAGCCCCGTGACGAAATCCATCGTCACCTGTTGCCACGGTCGTTCGGGTGGCTCGAGGGGTTGCAGTAGTCCGGCTGGCCTTTGTCGCGACGACTTCATTGCTTGGCAGGTCGGGCAGGTTGACACGTAGCGCTGCACATCGGTTAACATGTCCGGCCAGTAATAATTCCGCTGCAGCAGCTTCAGTGTTTTGTCGGTGCCGAAGTGCCCGGAAAGGTTGGAGTCGTGAACCTCCTGCGTCAGCAGCTCCCGTAAAGGCTGGTATGCTGGTACCCAAATCCGGTTAGTACCGGCTTTTAGGTAGTACTTGCCGTACGGTGCAGCAGCCTGTTGTTGCGGGTTCCGAAAAAACCTGTCGATCTTGTAGCCGTGGGTGAATAGTCCCGTCAGCATCGGGTTGGTGTGGGCGATTAGCACCGCCGCGTTTTGCATGGATGGTCGGGTGAGGGCGTCGGCGATGTTGTTGGCGCCCTTTTTGTACGTGATGTTGTACCGAAAGTTGGACTCAAGAAAGTCCAGCCACCGGATTTGTCGCGGGTTGAGTGTCGGTTGCGTGCGCATGTACTGTAGCGATTTGTGGTCGGTTCGAATAGTCACGTCGGCTCCCGTGAGGTAGCAGCGCCAGACGCGGAATGCATGGACGATGGCCAGCATCTCCTTGTCGTGGACTGGGTAGTTGCGCTCGGGTGGGTGCATCTTGCGTGATTCGTAGGCGATGGGTTGCAGCCCTTTGCCGAAGTCCTGTAGCAGGACGGCGCCGACGGCGAAATCGCTGGCGTCCGTGACGACTTCGAACGGTCGAGATGGGTCGGCGAGGCGGAGTACAGGGGGTGACTTCAAAATGTTTTGGAGGGTGTCGAAGGCGGACTGCTCCCTCTCCCCCCACCGAAAATCACTGTCGTGGTGCAGCAGGTCGGTCAGCGGCTTGGTTATCCCTTCCATGTTAGGTACAAAACGACGAACGTAGTTAACAAATCCCAAAAAACTTTGCAACTCAGGGATATTAGTAGGCGGCTTCCACTTAGCGATGGCGTCCACCTTACGCGGGTCGATTTTAATCCCTTCGCCAGAAACCACGTGCCCCAAAAACTCTAATTCCGGCTTTAGGAACTCGCACTTAGACCCCTTCGTAATGAGCCGATGCCCCTGTAAACGCCGGAACACCTCCTCTAAATCCCGCAGATGGTCCTCTTTTGTCGCGCTGTACACCAGAATGTCGTCCAAGTACACGATGACTTTTTTGTCCAGCATGTCCCGAAAAATCCCGTTCATGGTGAGCTGGAACGTCGAGGGCGCGTTTGTCAGACCGAACGGCATCACTGTGAACTCATAACTGCCGTAACGTGTGCGAAAAGCGGTCTTCGGGCAGTCGTCGGCGAACACGCGAATTTGGTGGTAGCCTCCTCGCAAGTCGATCTTCGAAAAATACCGAGCTCCGCGAAGTTGATCCAGCAGATCGTCAGTTCGCGGGATCGGGTAACGCGATTTTATCGTGACCCGATTCAGCGCCCGATAATCAATACACATTCTTAGGCCCCCGTCCTTCTTCGGCGTGAACAGTATCGGCGCTGCATACGGCGACGTGCTTGGCCGGATGAAGCCCTTGGCGAGTAGATAATCCAGCTGTGCCCGCAACTCGGCGAGCTCTGGTTGGCTGAGCCGCCACTGTGACCGTACAGTAGGTTGCGCTCCCGGCTCCAGCTGGATCCGATGATCCTCAGGTCGTTGGGGGGGCAAGCCATCCGGGAGGTCATCCGCGAAAATTTCGGGATACTTCCGAATGATGCTCGCCAATTCCTCGGGGACTGCTGCGCAGAGGGTGTCGATGTCCGCGATTTTCTCGGAAGCTGCCACCTCGTACAGGTGCACCAAGAAGGTCTGAGCTCCGCTGTTCATCGCACGCTGCATGTTGACCGCGTTGACACGTGTCGTCACCGGCTCCGGCTCCGTCCATTTCGGAAGCGTCGTCTTCCCTCCGTATCCTCGCACGACGCACGCCCCAGTCGTCCAGTCGATCGTCGGATTGAATCGCTGTAGCCAATCCCTCCCCAGCAGCACATCGCAGCCGTCCAATGTCGTCGCCAACATTTTCATGCCAAACCCGAAATTGTCGCCGCACTTTATCCGAATTTGTCGCGCCTCATCTCGGATGGCCAGCGGTGTCCCATCCACCAGCCTTGCATCGATCTCCGGCAGACACCTGGTCAGCTTCACCCCTATTTTTTTGGCCGTTGCCAGGTTGACGAGACTGTGGCTCGCCCCACCGTCAACGAATATTTTTATTTTATAACCGTTAACCCTCCCCACCACCAGCACAGGGTAGTCCACGTGTTCACCCACGTTATTCGTCCGGTTCTGGTCGATAGCTCTGATCGGTACCACGACCCGGTGTGGATGGTGATTGTCGGGCGACAGGGTCTCGTCAGTAGGTGGCCCTTCTGCTACTGACTCACATCTTTTCCCGACCCTTCTCCGTCGTTCTTCTTCCCCTGCTTAAGCTTCGGGCAGTCTTTCTTCAGGTGACCCAGCTGGTTGCATTGAAAGCACGGCCCAAGGGCTCGGCTCGGTGCATCCACGCTGTTGATCGTGGGCTGCTGCGGCGGTCCACGAAATCGAGGGCCCTCCCGGGAGCTCGATCTCGCCCACTGCATCAGCGCATCCGTTGACTCGGCTTCCCGGACGGCGTCGTTGAAGCTGCGTGGCCGGGTTCGTCGGACCTCGTATTGTATCTCGTATTTCAGGCCCGCCACGTAGCGATCCAACCGCTCTGCATCGCTCATGTCGTCCACTTGGTCCGCCAAGTTGCAGAATTTGCTGGTGTAGTCTTGGACCGACGCCAGCTGCTTCCAGGTACGCAGCTGCATGCGAGCAGAATCCGAGGCGGATATGTGCTCGAATCTGGTTCGCAAGGCGGCGCCCCACTCCTTCCATGTGCGTATCGTGGCCGTCCCGAAAATTGATGTTGCCTGATGCGTGACAGGTGTCGAAGTCCCGTCGTTCGCACGTGCTATTCCTGCCGAAGTCCCTTCGTGCTGCAGCGTTCGCCTCCACCACTCCAGCGCAGGCCCTCGCAACAGTGAAACTGCGAAATTAATGCGGGTGGCATCGTCATAAATCATGGCAGCATTAAAAAACACCTCCACGCCGAACAACCATGCAGAAACAGTGACGAACTTGTCACTTGGGTTAAACGGGGGCGGGTTTGTCGGCTTGATTTTGACGAAAGCCGTTGTTGCCATCGGAGCCGTTGGCATCGCTGCTGGCGTCGCCGTCGTTGTCGCTGCTGCATGTGTCGGTGCTGCACGCGACTGTTGCTGCTGCGCCTGCCTCGCTTCATCCGCACTTATATCGCCTTCCAGGTCGTTCCAGAGCCGCTCATCTGGTGCAGTGCTGCTACTTGCGTCGTCCACGACAGGCGACTCCTGGCGCGCTTCACCACGCGCCTGGTGTAGTTCGGCGTTTTCCTTCTGGAGACGCTCCATTTCTGCAGACATGGTCCGCATGGTGGCCTGCATCTCCCGGAACTGTTGCATGAACTCGTTGAACTCCGCCTGGTCCATGTGTCGCAGGCTTCGTCTAACGGGCAGGGGGTGGTTCGCGATTTTTCTGACTTCGGTGAAGGCGTTAATGCTATCGTAGTCGGAGGGCCGACCGCTTAACAGCCCACCAAGTCTATCGCTCCCCTTCTACAAACTACCCCGGAAACGCGAGGGTAACCTAGGACTTTAGGCTCTGATACCAAGTGTTATGAGTTGTGAAAGAAGAGAGTGCGCAGAACTCAATAATGCGGAAGTGATTACAACGTCTGCATGAACAACGAGGCCTAGGCACAATATAGCAAGTCCTAGCTAGGCCGAGGTCGCGGGGTCGCGAGATGGTTGGGTGCAGGTTCGGGGTTGGAAAACCCGAAGGCGACGCGGTGGTGGCTCGGAAGGCGAGGTCGGCGGACCGAGCCTGGTTTTCCGAAAGTCGGGGTTGTACGCGTACGGAATGACCCAGTAAGGAATCCAAAAAATTCCTTACAGACTTACCAAACGCGTTAAGCGAGTTACCAAACGCGTTGAAATCGTTACCGTACGCGTTATAGTTCCCCATGTAAGTTACCATTGACATATTTTCCCGTCGAAGAAACGCAAACGTGCGGGGAAGAAACGAAAGATGGATGGGACAAGAGTGATGGGTACTGCTGCGGCTTGATAATTGGTGTGCTTGGTTATGGTTGCTGTACAGGTGCACTACTAACGGGACATAACGGATACACCCATTGAGTTGAATGGTGCAAGCAAACCCGGAATGCCAACCTTTGCTGGTTTCAGCTGGGTGCAAATAGCTGTCAAGGAGTACCTGTAAAATAAAAATATTGGCCCTTGTTCATGACCCATTATTCTTCCAGTTTGTTACAACCAGGCAGCGACCTTTTCAGTGCCAAAACGGTACGAATTATACAAGAAACAAGGAAGCACCACACTTGTCCTTTCATAGGAGTCAGGCACAAGGATACGGCATCCTGCTGTTGTGCCATTCATGTATCAAGCACCTGACAGCCCAGCACTGCATTTGTTAGCACCAGCTCCGTCCCCTTGTCCCCTCCCCCTGGCCCAGGTACCACCTTCACCGGTATTACCTCCTCCACGTCCCCCTCCTCCTCGTCCTCCTCTTCCTCCTCCCCATCACTCCTTCCACTCCTCTCCTCATCAATCCTTCCCACCCCTTCAAACAACACGTCTCCACTCTCCGCCTCTTCCCCCTCCTCCCTCTTCCACACATCCCCCATACACTTGTGCCTTCCCCCCCTTCACCAGTCACCACCCCTTCCTCTCCCCTCCCCTTCGCCCTCCCCTCTCTCGCCCGCCTCCTCCTCTGCCGCTCCAGCGACCTCAGCAGGGGCGGCAGAGGGGCCATCACTAGTGACCTATCCGGCAGAACAAGACAAATGTGGTCCAGGAAGCAGACAAGCTGTGCCGCCCACGGCTTGTGGGACATGGCTGGCAGCCGAACCTTGCCAACCCACGTCCAGGCGTGTACGTGTGGGTCCCAGGCCTTCAACTTGTGATCGTCCCCAAAGTCAACTATAAACATGTGGCCCTGCACTGATGCTGTTGGCCCCTGCCATCCCTGGTGATGGGGAGGGGTGGAGAGGGGTGGGGAGAGGGGAGCAGAGGGGAATAGTTACGCGACCACAGTAGGCAAAGTCGATAATATGCATGTGCCCCTACACTGCTGCCGTTGGCCCCTGCCATCCCTGCAGGGTGGGAGGCAGGAAGAGAGGTGCGGTGATTGCTGCTCCACGCCCTCTCCACGCCAATGCACGTAACTGGCATGCATGCCACAAGTAGCACTCCCTCAGTCCCACCCAGGCAGTAGCACAAGTAAAAAACAGCATCCACCGCTCGCTGCCCAATGCCAATGCCTGGCGAGTTAAACGTCATGCCTCCTTTCCACTCTATGCCCCAGGGTTGCCCTATGAACATATCGCTCCACCACACACCACCACGCTCCACCCAAGCGCATGCCTCACCTGCACCATAGCGGGCGGCAATTCGGTGACGGTGTTGTTGCGCGGGTTAAAAGCAACGCCCAGGCGTTGCCCCCAGCCGATGTTCTTCGCCACGAGACACCCCCCCACCACTGTCTGGTACCCCGGCAGTGTCATCAGCTCCGCTCGTGCTGATGCCGCTGCTGTTCCCACCTGCAGGGAGTGGGAGGGGGAAGGTTGTTTTTGAGAGGTCTGACAATCACCCTGCTTCGCCACCAGACACCCCCCCACCACCGCCTGGTACCCCGGCAGTGTCATCACCCCTGCTCGTGCTGATGCCGCTGCTGTTCCCACCTGAAAGGAGTGGGAAAGATTGTGTCGTGTTCGCGGGAGGGCAGGTTGTTTGAGAGGTCCGACAATCACCCTGCTTCACCAGAGGCACCCCCCCACCACCGCCTGGTACCCCGGCAGTATCATCAGCTCTGCTCGTGCTGATGCCGCTGCTGTGCCCACCTGCAGGCGCAGGGGAATGAGAGGGGACGCGCAAGAGACAAAAATATGGCATTGACCCATAGAGAGCATCACGACAGCCGCACCTGCATCCACCGCTCCCCACCTCCGTCCACCACACCTCACCTGCGTCCACCGCTCCTCCCCGCTCCTCACCTGCCACCAGCGGTCTTCATCCACGTCGTATGCCTCCACGGACCCCACGAGCGCGAGGCTGTTGGACGTGCCGATGCCGCCCGCCACGTACAGCCGCCCGTCCACCACCCCAAACATGCAGAACCACCGCCCCGTGCCCATCGCTGCCGCCCTCTTCCACTCGTTCCTGCGCACGTGGCATGCAGGCAGGTGGGTGTGGTAAGGTGCACAATACAAGGAAGAGTGGAACGTGAATTGCGGTAAAACAAGGGTGTGGGCTCCAAGCAGTGCTTTGAGTGGGACTGTGTGAGAGAACGAGTGTTCGTGTGAGGGTGAGCATGTGCATAAATGTGTGCGTGTGTGTGACTAAGAGCAAGAGACCCCTTCTTTTCCACCACAATCAAGCCCCTTAATGAGCGAGTTGAGCCAAGCATACCAGGGAGCGAAGCATACCGGGCGGGGTGGTAGATGAAGACCCCAGAGGCGGAGTCGAGCGGATCATCTCTCTCCACCACGCCCGCCACCAGCAGGCGCCCCTTCACTGCCGCGAACTGCAGAGTGAGCACGGAGCGCTGCTGCGCGCCTGGGATGGGCGGCAGCGTGTGCCACGTGGTGCTGCTGGGATCGAACGCCACACACGCGTTGTGACCCTGCAGGGTGTGGAAAAAGGCGTGGCATGGGCGCGTGGATGGGTAGGGTCATGTGGCTGCTGTTGGGATCAAAAGCCACATACGTGTTGCACTGGCTCGTGCATCGGTAGTACTAGGTGCCAATAACTTGGTATTAGGAACCAAGCCTTGCATCGGATCACATGCCCTCTACACGATAAATGATTGCCCTGGGCTCACCTGCCAATCACTGATCGACGCATACAGCCAAGGCTCGGTAAGCCCGAGTCTCTTCCGAGCCTGGAAGTAGAGGCTGGACCCGAGGCTGTCGTGCCAGCGTCGGCAGACGGCTTTAAGAACCTGCAGGTTGCTCCGAGGCACGCGGAGAAGAATGGCCCACGCCAAGTCGTCCGGGAGGCCCGGCAGGAACGGCGGTTGATCCTCGCCGTTGATCGCTGCATCCGCGGCTCTCATTTCCCGAGCCTCCTTTTCAGCTTCGGAAGCGCAGTCTGTTCTTCCGTCCCCTGTCCCACCTGCCTCCGCCCTTTTCCCTGCCCCTACTGTCTCGCTTGTCATCCCAGCCTGCCCTCTCTCCCCTGTCACTCGGTCAGTACCGTCTACAGTGCTCACAGCACCCATGCTGTCTGCTGCTGCACTGACAGCACAACGCGAGTGACCACCATCCGCTCCTGCCGCTGCTGTTGCTTCCGTCGCGGAGAGCGAGTGCGGGTCGTTCCCCCGCGCCGCCGGAAATTCATCCGACGCGGCCTCGCCTGCCCTTGCAGCGCCTGCGGAGACGCCGCCTAATGCTCCCGCCTCGTCTTCCCCGCCGTCTGAAGCACCACTGTGGCCGGCCGCGGCACTGGGAGCGCCCGCATCACCTTCCGAAGCTCCCGCACCAAAGCTGCCCTGAAAGGAAGTCATTGCGAAAGAGCTGTCCGCAGGTCTTCGCAGATTACCAACCCTAGTACCGCTAATGGGGACACAAAATACGTGTTTCTCAAAATACTGGACAGCACATCTTGCGCGGAAACGAAATTCCGCGTGAATGTGGCGGTTACAGGGGTGGGCTGCTCCGCAGAACGCTGGGGTGGGGTGGGAAACGGTGAGAAGCGTAGCGCAGAAGATACTCCCCACCCCAGAAAAGAGATTCATTGGGAATGTTGTTGCCGTTTCACGAAAGTGTTACAGCGGCTCACGATGAGTTTGTTCACGAAACCCCTGGTGCCAGTTTGAAGAGCTTCACTTATGTTTTCTTTGTACTGTATATTTTCTACATTGTACTCTTTTACTCGCTTATCATTTCTCTTACAGAAAATCAAGCACCTTCATTCGCGCCTCGAGATTGCCGCCGATTTTCGCCCAGGTTGTCAGAGATGGTGTCTCTCTGACACCAGCCTTCCCATCCCACCCTCAGCCGACATTTCAAGCTGAACTCTTCTTCCTGAATCATGGCCATCACCTTCTTTCACACACACAGCTGAGCTCTGTTCCTTCCACTTACCAAACTCTCTAGCTTACTCTCGTTGTCGGCATACCTTTCAGTAGTCCGCCTGTAGCTTTTAGAGATTAATGTGCCTGGAGCGACGCGATAACACAGGCTTGTCAGTAGGAAATACCTTATTCATAATATGAAGAGTACGGAGTCGCGACTCGTCTGATCCATTTTTAGGATACAGATTCCAGAACTACGATGGAGTGTAGATAACGAGCCTATTACATGGCTTTGAGACGCAGGAAGACCTTAGTACGCGGTAGCCGCAGCATGGATTAACAACCGAAGTTTCTCTCTGGTTCTAAGCCGCAGGACTGATCAACGACCTTGGTACACGGGGTCTAGTTGCAGAATAGACCCGCGGTCTCCATTATCCGTTGTCAGGACGTACGCTTAAGCCGGAACTTTTGGGGTGCGGTGCTAACCACCTTAGCGATCTTAACTTTATTCCAGCTCGTCATTATCTTCGATGCCTCCAACCACGCTAGTCATTTCCGTCTCTGCACACGGCATTTCATCCAGCCGTCCGTTCCTCCTTTCGCCATTTTCGCATGGCGTTCGTCGGCTTTCGCTGCCGTTTGCCGAGTTTCTCTGCGCTTCGCCGAGTGTCGCTGCAGTTAGCCGAATTCACAGCCGCCAATTTTCGTTGATGTTCGCCAACTTCGCTCCTGGCGTTCGCCATGTTCCGCTACCGTTCGCCGTGTTCCGCTACCGTTCGCCGTGTTCCGCTACCGTTTGCCGACTATGGGTGCCGTTCGCCGAGCGCCGCCGCCATTCGCGGAGCTGCTGCTGTTCGCCGAGTTTCGCTGCCTTTCGCAGAACTGCTACCGTTCACCAAGTCTTCGCTGAGTTTCCTACCGTTCGCCGACTTCCGCTGTTCTGCGACGCGCTACCGTTTGCTACGTCGCTGAGGTCCCCGACTTTTGCTGTTGTGCGACGCGCTACCACTCGATACGTTGCGCTGAGGTCGCCGACTTCCGCTGTTCTGCGACGCGCTACCGTTAGCTACGTCGCTGAGGCCGCAGACTTTCGCTGTTGTGCGACGCGTTACCGATCGCTATGTTGCGCTGAGGTCCCCGACTTTCGCTGTTGTGCGACGCGCTACCGTTCGCTACGCTGCGCTGAGGTCACCGACTTTCGCTGTTGTGCGACGCGCTACCGATCGCTACGTTGCGCTGAGGTCGCCGACTTCCGCTGTTCTGCGACGCTTTACCGTTAGCTGCGTCGCTGAGGTCGCCGACATTCGCTGTTTTGCGACGCGCTACCGACGCCTGAAGTGAAGGCACGGCTCGAAGGAGCGACAGAGCGGCGTACAAAGAATGGTACGTTCCAGGGGGTGCCTGCAGGGGGGCCGTGGTGAGTCGTAGAGTGTCGCCGCGCAGAGGCAAGAGTCGTGTCTCCTGCTTTTGACTCCGCCACTCGCCTCGTGCTATTTCTAACCCTCCCTTCCCTTGTTGGTGGCGCTTCTCTGTGTGTGTCTCTCTCCCCATGCGTGTGTGTGCTTCACGGCCTGCGAGCAAGGGCAACGGAGCAACGGAGCAACCTGGAGCAACTTGGAGCAGCAGGCGTGAAGGGAAGGCGTGGTGCAGGAGTGGCAGAGCAGCGGACAGAGTGTGGTATGTGCCAGGGGGTGCCTGCAGGGGGAAGGGAATTGAGTTGTAGAGTGTCGCCGCGCAGAGGCAAGAGTCGTGTCTCCTGCTTTTGACTCCGCCACTCGCTTCGTGCTGTTTCTAACCCTCCCTTCCCTTGTTGGTGGCGCTTCTCTGTGTGTGTCTCTCTCCCCATGCGTGTGTGTGCTTCACGGCCTGCCAGCAAGGGCAACGGAGCAACGGAGCAACCTGGAGCAACTTGGAGCAGCAGGCGTGAAGGGAAGGCGTGGTGCAGGAGTGGCAGAGCAGCGGACAGAGTGTGGTATGTGCCAGGGGGTGCCTGCAGGGGGAAGGGAATTGAGTCGTAGAGTGTCGCCGCGCAGAGGCAAGAGTCGTGTCTCCTGCTTTTGACTCCGCCACTCGCCTCGTGCTGTTTCTAACCCTCCTTTCCCTTGTTGGTGGCGCTTCTCTGTGTGTGTCTCTCTCCCCATGCGTGTGTGTGCTTCACGGCCTGCGAGCAAGGGCAACGGAGCAACGGAGCAACCTGGAGCAACTTGGAGCAGCAGGCGTGAAGGGAAGGCGTGGTGCAGGAGTGGCAGAGCAGCGGACAGAGTGTGGTATGTGCCAGGGGGTGCCTGCAGGGGGAAGGGGATTGAGTCGTAGAGTGTCGCCGCGCAGAGGCAAGAGTCGTGTCTCCTGCTTTTGACTCTGCCACTCGCCTCGTGCTGTTTCTAACCCTCCCTTGTCTTGTTGGTGCCACTTCTGTGTGCCGTGTGTGTCTCTCTCCCCATGCGTGTGTGTGCCTCACGGCCTGCGAGCATGGGGAGTTGGAGCAACGGAGCAAGCTGGAGCAATTGGAGCAGCAGGCGTGAAGGGAAGGTGTGGTGCAGGAGTGGCAGAGAGCAGCGGACAGAGTGTGGTATGTGCCAGGGGGTGCCTGAAGCGGGCAGGGAAGTGATTCATAGAGTATCGCCGCGCAGAGGCAAGAGTCATGTCTCCTGCGTTTGCCTCCGCCACTCGCCTGGTGCTGTTTCTAACCCTCCCTTGTTGGTTGCCGCTTCTGTGTGTGTGTGTCTCTCTCCCCATGCGTGTGTATGCCTCACAGCCTGCGAGCATGGGCAGCCGGAGCAACGGAGCAACCTGGAGCAACTTGGAGCAGCAGGCGTGAAGGGAAGGCGTGGTGCAGGAGTGGTGCAGCAGCGGACAGAGTGTGGTATGTGCCAGGGGGTGCCTGCAGGGGGGGGTGTAGTGAGTCCTAGAGCGTCGCCGCGCAGAGGCAAGAGTCGTGTCTCTTGCTTCTGACTCCGCCACTCGCCTCGTGCTGTTTCTAACCCTCCCTTCCCTTCCCTTGTTGGTGCCGCTTCTGTGTGCGTGTGTCTCTCCCCATGTGTGTGTGTGCCTCACGGCCTTCGAGCATGGGGAGTTGGAGCAACAGAGCAACTTGGAGCAGCAGGCATGAAGGGATGGCGAGATGCAGGAGTGGCAATGAGGAGACTGAGTGCAGAGGGCCTGGAGGGATGACGCAAGGAGGCAATGAGGGGACTGAGTGCAGCAGGATGGAATGGTGGTTCAGCCAAGGATAGAAGGGAGGATGTTAACTGGAAAAGATTAGGGTGAGTGGAATCCTTATTGCTGCATCACCCTTATTGCTGCACCACGCATGCTTGCCTGCTGTTCAACTGTGTCCGTCTGCCTTCCCGCCTGCTTCTGCCTGCCATGCTCCTCTCTACTCTCTGAGTCATGTTCCTGCTTTCTACTTTCAGCTCGTTTCTGGTTCATGTTCCTCGTGATCTCCCCAGCTAGGGTCTCCCTTTCCACTGCCATGCTCCTCTCTACTCACTGGCATAACTCTTCCGTCTGCTAATCGTCTTCCTCACTGACGTCCCAGCCTCTCAACATTGCCTTCTGCCCTTCGCAGGTTAACAAAAGGCAACAGTAATGACAACAACAGGAGTAGCAATAGTACGGTAGCATCTTATAGATAGGACAGTAATGGCATTAGTAGCGAGGCATACGCACATAGATCATTGCCAGTGCATGATAGGGTGGTGGGGCATGCTAAGGTATTGTACGGTAATCTGAGGTACCCATAAAGATACTGAGGTATGGTGAGGTATGGTAAGGTACACCCCTCAACCATCCAGGACAAAAGAGTCACCGTACCGAACAAAGGAAGCAGGGGCCTAGTCAAACAGATGGATATACCGTACCCTTGTAAGTAGAGACAAAACAAAGATAGCTAAAGAGGGACCCACCCAGCCAAGCGGATAGCTTAATAAAGGAAACATCATACTTCTACCAGGGGTGGCTAATGCCACCACTTTCTCAGAGGAGTTCCAGGTATCCAAGTTTGGGATAAAAAGATAAGGTTTTCAGAAGCTTGTATTGTCTTCCTCGTAACTAGCTGGTTGCTAATTCATAAGTTCACCACCAGAAACAATAGCGGAACCTCACCACTGCGCATTACCGCTCGTCATCTCGGTGCGGGAAGATCGCCAAGCACAGCCATTTGGACTTCGTCAGACAAATCTAGTGGAAAGCCTCCTTTTTGCATTTCTTCAAGCAGATTTTTGTGGGAGATCCCAAAGGCATCAAATTTGAAATCACCGCACACGGCTGCGTTTTTCCAGATCTCAGCACCATGGCTCCCCAGCCGTCCTTATCTTGCCTCCTCGGGCTATGTGCTCTGCTGCTGGTTCCTCTCGCGCTTGTTGAGGGGAAGGAGTACGTGATTACCCTTGATTCCTCGAACTTCGACGAGGTGGTCCCGAACGAGGAGTTTATTGTTGTCGAGTTCTACGCGCCTTGGTACGCTCTAATCTTGCTCACTCTTTTTTTGC